TCTAGATTTCCTAGATGTTCCCTTTGCTATTATTGCTTTGGTGTTGGTGTGATAATGTGGTTTGGGGTATAGCCAAAAAAACCTGCTATGGCTGCCAAAATTCTTTGAAGTTGGTTGTTTTACTTTAAACTTCGTTTCCTTTTAATCCATTATCTATTACCGGCAAAACTGATGCTTTGGAAAAATGAATGTTAGGGTTTCCTAGACTTTGTATACCTCCAGAGTACAGGTGACTTAGTGTTACACTATAAGTTGAAGAGTGTCAGAGTTGAGTATCAGAGTTCTGAATGTGTGAAGAATGGCTCAAATAGGGGTTGGGAACTGTCTCACTTTGGGATATTGGACTGATAAAGGATCCCTTTAGGGACCCCTATAAAGGATTCTGCCTGTTCAGTTTCTTAGTTTGCTCTGAAAATTATTGTCATTAGAGATTATTCATTTAGTCATTAGTCAGTCTTTGACAAAGTAATATATGTGTGATAGTAATAATGCCCAGTGGAGCTGTTGATCTAATTGATATTGTCATGGTAAGTAGAGCCTCAAAGTGAAGGAGATTTGCTTGATTTGGTACAATTAAGATGATGGCAATAATTAGTACTACTGCCACGACTACTCTTACTAGTATACAGCATTGAAAGAGGGCTTACTATATGCTAAACACTGTTCTACACACTTTCCTATAATCTACATTTTACCCTTGAAGAAAGTGAGATTCAGAGAGATTAAATATCTTACTGGTAGCCACATAACTAGTTGATGATGAAGCCTACATATTTATTCTGTGTGTGTGTATGCATGTATGCTCATCCATGTGTACATGACGTGGGGAATGCTGGTGGCCTAGTGGCAAAAAACTGCGCTGCAGTCCTGAAGGCACGCAGTTTGAGGCCACCAGCCGCTCATGGGAAAAGGATGGGCAGTCTCCTTACACGTGATTAACTGCCTCAGAAGACCCACCGAAAGGTGAGCTACAGGTTGGTCCTGACTCAACGGTGCAAAACGACAACAACAACAACAACAACAACAACAACATATGATTTAGGAGAAAAATATCTCCTGTTCTTTGTAGGAGATTGTGATGTAGAATAGACCCAGCCGAACAGAGAAACTTCTTGAACATCCTGCATTTGGATTATGTGTGGTATGAGTTACACTATGATGTTTGTGCGAATACCAGAATGAGTCCAGCAAGTCAATGTGCCCTGCAGTCAGAATATTGCTTTTTCTCTAGCGATCCTTAGATTCCTATCATCATGCTTTTCATCAGGAAAGAGAGCAACATGGTGGAAAGCCTTGACTTCTTTGGTGGTGAATGGTTGTAAAAAAGAGTACGGACTTGCGTGAGAATGGCTGAGTCTGACCTTCACTAACTTCATGAGGGAGAATAGCCCCAATAAGCAATATCCTCAGTGCAAAACCAGTTACTATAAGGCCAACCATGCCCCTCCCCTTCAGTGCTCCAGCACTGCTTCTACCAATTGTGGCACCAACCTTCCCTCCAAGAGCTCTCTGCTCTACTGTTGGGTCCACAGTCAGTTACAACGGCCACAGAGTGCACAGAACCATACTCAGGATTATGCAATTTATTAGGGAAGTTAACAGGTTACACAATTTAAGTTGGCAACAGGATAAAATTCCTCAGGCAGGACAACATATCAAGCCTGCTCACAGGCCCTTTGACCTTTAGCCATGAAGTTTTAGGTTAGTGTTACAAAGCACCTCAGTCATGGTGTCTTCCCTTCCTTCCTCCAGCGAGCCTTGGTGAAGGCCCCTGGCTCTTGCTCTATGGCATAGCAGGCCCCGTCAGCTGTGTCTCATCGGTGTCTCCACTACTGCTGCTGCTCTTATCTAGGTTCCAGCCTGACTGGCATGGGCATAGCTGGCCAAAATCTGGCCAGGACTCCAAAGGATGCATGCTATGTCCTTTGTTTATTCCTGGCTGGTAGTGAGATCCCCTTTCCTGTTGCTAGATCTGCCCAATTTAAACCCAACAGGATGCCAAAACTGACCAGTCCCAGAATGAGTTGTTTTTACATCTAGTATGCATGTTCCCTCACAGCCATGTAGTGGAAATCAAAGCTAATGAGCTAAATAAGAAAGCTGTTTTGAAAGATCAGCTCACTGAACTACAGTGGAGAGCTTTGATGGTTTGGTGCAAAGTTGGCCTCGTAAAAGACAGTGATGGCCCAGGACTGTCTGACCCTTGAGTTCATAGATGGACCAAAGAAAAGAGTGAGGATGGAGAAGAATCTTGAAAGCAAGTCATATAACATGAACAATTGGGATTGTTTTGTCCAGAGAGCGGTGGTTCAGGAAGCCACTGAGGAAAGGGGATTCTGTAGCACTCCACAAAGGTAAACCTGGGTCTCTAAGGTGGAAGGTCTAATTAATGCCCAGTCTCAGGAAGTTATAGGAACCCAGAAGTGAAATGAGATGATTCAGAGAGAGGCGATAGCTTATGGGGAAGTATAAACCTTGTGTTCCTAACTTTGGCTCTTCTACCTGTTCAAGAAAAATAGTATCCTCAGGCTGAGTTCCCACCTGCCAAGTGCGTTATTGGTTTGTGGAGTTTCTTCATGACAGTTTGAATTGAAAAGGCTTTATTTATTTTTTTTTTTAATTTAGTCTTGTTCAATCTTGTCTAAGCTTCAGGGCAGTTTAGTTCAGAAGCTGCCTTGTGGGCCTGTACAGACCTGTGAGGCTGGAAACCAACTGGGGCCAAGCAGAACCCCTCTGAGTCTTGTCACATGACTGTGAACTGGGTTTACTGGGACCTTCACTAGTTTTTTGGTGGCAAAGTCACTTCTCCCTGGCAAATGTCCCCATAGGACCAGTCAATGACAACAGAATGAAACAGATAAGTGCTTTGCCCCAAGAACTCCCCTCATTTTCTTTCTTCTCAGTGTCACCACTTATAGACTGTCTTCATTGCCATATTGTGCTGCCCTAATATTTTTAGTCTGAAGAGAAAATATTTGATACTTTTAGTTGTTGGTTTGTTTTTTTTTGTTTGTTTTTAAATATGAATTGCTCCTGGGGTAGGGAATTGAGGGGTTAGGGGTGGAATGGAGAATTTTGTCATTTGTGTATTGAAAGCAGTTGGGAACATTATCTCTTAAAAACATAAGAAGAAAATAATATAGTGACTTTTCCCAGGAAAATCTGCAGATGTGAAGAGAGACTCTTTGTTGGGGCAGTAGTGTTTCAAGCACTGGTATAGGATGCAATAAAGGGAAGAGCACAGTTTCCAGACATGCCTGGGTTCAAATCTCGCTTCCACCAGTTCTTAATTACGTAGGTGCTCAGAGCCATAGCTTTCTTACCTGTAAAATGGAATATGTTAGTTGAAGCAGAAATTTAGTGAAAAAGAGGAAAACCCTGAATGAAATGGTTTGAAACAGTAGCTCCAACAGCGGCTTAAATGTAGCGGTGATTGTGAGGAGAGTACAAGATTAGTCAGTGTTCTGTTCTGTTCTCCATGGGATCACTATGAATAAGAGGCAAATTGAGGGCACCTAACATAACAAGGGTCCCTGTTACCAGTAATGGTGCAGGGATTAAATGAATAAATACTTGCAAAATAATTAGAATGGAGCCTGGCAAAGAGTGAAGTATTCAACTCATGGTTAGCTATCAAAATTATTCATTGCCCATTAATGCTGCCCTAATCCTTTTAGTCTGAAGAGCAAAAATCTGGTATTTTGGGTTTTTAAAAAATAGAAGTAGCTCCTCAAGTAGGAAATTGTGGTGGCTAGGGGATGGGGTGGTGGTGGGAGGTTTTTTATTATGTCATTTGTAAGTTGTATTCATAAGAAAATATTATAGTTACTGTTCCCAGGAAAATCTGCGTATCATAATAAACTACTTTGCATTTTAATAAAATATCACAGAGGGGGCAACTGTAAGCAACAGAAATTCATTGTCTCATAGTCCTAGAGGCCAGGAGTCCAAATCCAGGGTGTCAGTGGGTTATGCTCTCTCCAGAGGCCCCGAGGAAGAACCTTCCTTGATTGCCCCTAGTTGCCTTGACTTGTAGATGCATCACTCCAATTTCTCTCTGCCTTCAACTTCACATGACCACTTTCTCTGTATGTGTCTTCATATGTCTCCTCTTTTTATAGGGATACCAGTCACGTAGAATTAGGACCATCACAAATGGATATGACTTCAGGTTAACTGAGAACAACTTTAAAGACTCTGCTTCTAAGCAAGGTCACATCACAGGTACCAGGGGTGCAGACTTAAACCTCTTTTTTTAGGAGACACAGTTCAGCCTTTCATGGTCATTATGTGTGTTTTAGTGAGCTCTTTGGTATTGGTGGCGGTGGTGTTGTGTGCTGTCAAGTCAGAACTGACTCATAGTTGACTCTGGAATGGGTTTTCAGAGGCAGTGCATTGCAGAGGAGATCACCCATCTTTCTCCCGCAGAGTGGCTGGTGGGTTCTAACTCTGTTCCTTTGGGTTGGCAGTTCAACTCCTTACTACTAAGCCACTACTCATAGAGTTGCATTGCCAACCCAAAGGCGCTGCTTTGGCGGTTGAAATCCAGCCTCTGTGTGGGACAAAGTCGAGCAGTTCCTCCTATGCAGTCTGCAACTTTGGAAATCTGATGGAACGTTGGCTGTGAGTCAGAGCTAACTTTGCCAGTGAGAGAAAGAGGTGTATTCTGAACTCAACTAGTCCTCTAGATATGTTTTGTTGACTAGCCTTCTAAAAATATCTTTCTAGATATATTTTGGCATAAAAATGTGAAATTAGAGAATGCTATACATTTTATTATGGAACTTGAGTGTTAGTTGGCTGGCAAGTGACTCGATGGTAAGTGACTTAGATAAAGGCTGGGGTTTTTCTCACTGTCCCCTGTGTCATTAGTTTGAGTACCCCTGTTGCTGAGTGGGTAGAACAGGTTCTAAGAAGCTAGGCAACTTGTTTAAAGTCACCCAACTATTTCTGCCTCAACACTGGTTCACAACCAAGCCTTTCCCCTCTGTCTCTTTTAGGCCAATGTCTGCAGACTACGGCTGACCGTACCCCCTGAGAGAGCAGTTTCTGAGCAAAGTGAAAAGAAGATTGAAAGGAAAGAACAGGTAAGCTCTCTCTGAGGTAGAGCTCTAATAGCTTCTAATCTCTGTATTGACTTTCAGCCCCGCACCCTTCAGCTCTTGGTCTAGGCTGTTCACAGCACCTGAATGTCAGCACTCGGAGATGAAAAGCCCTCTGGACCTGCCCTGCCCACCTCCTTGCACATCTTCAGTTCTTCCCAGTGGGCTCCACCAGCCTGCTCTCCTTTCTGGGGAACACTGTGGCTCTGTGTTGCTGAAGCATGCAGGGGCACCGGCTGTAGTGACAGGTGCTGCAGCAAAGAGCATATTTTTCCTGAAACAGCCCAGTCCAGTTGAGTCAAAGGGCCCATTGTGTGCTGTCTATGGGGCCAGTGCCTTTTTTCTCTTCTCCAGCTGGGAGTCTTGCTCCTGCAGAGAACAGGCTGCCTGGGAAGAGGGGAAGCAGGCAGCTCTGGTGTGGGGGAAAAGGCACTTGGCTGGAGAGAAGAGATCAACCAACATTTCTGTGCCAGCCCTTATTCTAAAGGAAGGTAAGTGTGACTTTGTCCTGCCATAGAGGAGCTCACAAGTTTTCAGTTGAGACAGATGCACAGTTCCACTTTATAGATATTTTGGGCTCTATTCCACACCGCTACCATAAAGTGACAATCAAAATAAAGTGAGTCACATGGCTTTTTTGGTTTCCCAGTGCCTATCAAGTTATGTTTACACTGTAGAGTAGTTTGTTAAGTGTACAGTAGTATCATGAAAAAGTAGAAATATTGTGAGCATTACCAAAATGTAACTCCACATTATACTATGAGCGTGAGCTTTTGGAAAAAATGGTGCTGACAGACTTGCTTGCCCCAGGCTTGCCTCAGACCTTTAGTTTGTAAGACACAGTATCAGCAAAGCACAGTAACTCATTCCCTCATTGCTGTTTAGTTGGAACTGACTCCTAGGTGACCCATCAGTGGGTTTCCAGAGACTGTAAATCACATGAAGGGAGACTGCTCATCTTTCTCCTGCCGAGCAGCTGGTGGATTTGAACTGCCTGCTTTCGGGTTGGCAGTGCAACTCACTACTGACTAGACTACCAAAGCTCCCTAAAAAAAGAGCAATAAAGTGTAGCACAGTAAAAATGAAGTTTGACTATATAAAGAAACAGCGATAGTGTGATAGTTCAAGTGTTAGGAGAATCCGGAACCATTGGAGATGGCTATGGAAGGTGACATTGGAGGCAGACCTTGCAGGGTCAGTCGAGATCCTGCATACTTCTAGGCCTGTGGGCCTGGGCAAGCTTTTCATGCATTCACAATTATAGGCACTATAAGAAGCTCTGGTGATGGGGCACATTATAGGTTTAGTTAGGCTGGACTGCTAATCAAAAGGTCATTGATTCAAATTCACCACTTGCTCCACGTGAGAGAAATTGGCAGTGGCCTCCAGTGAAGATTTACAGCCTCAGAAGCCTAATTTATCTTCACCATAAGTGAGAATCAACATGAAGTCAGTGTTTTAGCTTATTGTATTCCAAACTCTATCTGGTTACAGCAAGTACAGTATGGAATAAAGCTGGAAATAAATAAGACATCCCTGTCATTCATACTTACATTGCAATGGCAGAAGCAAGAAAAGAAACAAAATTTATGTTTTATAGCATTTCAGAAGGTGACAAATAGAGACAAAGCCAGAGAAGGGTGTAGAAGAGCAAGGGTAAGTAGTGCTTGTTCATGCATATATTTTATATTAATAGAAAAGAAAAATTATGTGCAAAACTTATAATAGGAAGCCTTTGTAGCTTAGTGATAAGGTGTTGTGGTGCCAGCCAAAGATTTGCATTTCAAATCTAGCAGCAGCTCCATGGGAGAAAGATAGGCCATTTTCTACCATTTTCTATCTGAAAACCTGCCTGAAGGTCAGTTATGAGTCTATTTCACTCCTTAGAAAGTGGAAACAAGAATCTACGAAGATGGAAAGTGACAAAGATCTACAGTAAAATTAGGAACATTTGTTATCTATCACTTACTAATCAGTTAACAAAATGGCAGAGAAAGGAATTAGTGGGGAGGAAGTTTGAAGTTATGATTATAGAAAGGAGGGGAAATATGAAGTCGCTTATCTGTGTAAAAAGGGGAGGGTGAGTCCCACTAAAAGGATGCAGGAAAATGACTTGTTCCAGGTTAAAGGAGTGAAAGATAAGGGGAGCCTGGGACATCTTGTGCTGGAGAGCACGGTAGCATTCAAAGATGAAGGGGCCTTGGAAGGCACATATTGAAACAACTTGAGCATTGAAATGAATATGAGAGTAATGGTTATGACAGATTGTATAAAAATCATCCCCAAGGGTACAGTGAGAGAGAAGAAAACACAGCTAATAGAGAAAACATTTATTTTGCTGTTCCCAGTTAGACTCCTCAATGAATGCTGAAACAAGTAGATAAGAGGTTATTGAGGAAAAGGATATCCAATGGTTTTAGAGTATCACCCTTCAGATAACGTAACAGATTCTAAAGGGAAAAAGTGCCCTTTTCAAGTGGAACAGTGTGGCAGTCACAACTCCAACAGAGTGGTCTAACTTAATGTCTCCAATATTGGGAGTGCTTGATAGTATGTAATTACTAGGATTATACAATAAAGTCCAAGCCCAGTGTTGTTCAGTCAGTTTTGACTGACTGCAACTCTAAATGACAGGGTCGAATTGCCTGACAGGTTTTCTAAGGCTGTTCATCTCTATGGGAACAGACTACCTCATCTTTCTACTCTGGAGCAACTGGCAGGTTCTAACCACCCACATTTCTGGTAGCAGCGCAATGACTAACTCACTATGCCACCAGGGCTCCTTATACAATTAAGAAATACACAGTATTATATATTCATGCCAAACTTATAATAATAAGAATGCTGTTGTTGTTATGTACCATTGAGTTGAAATGGACCCATAGCTGACCCTCCAGTGGGTTTTCAAAGGCAGTTAATTGCACAGGAGGAGATTGTCCATCCTTTTCCTAAAGAGCACCCGGTGGACTTGAAATGCTTGCTTTTGGAATTGCAGCACAGCTTCTTGCTTCTAGGCCACCAGAGCTCCCTAATAATAAGAATGCAATTAGAAAACTCCAAAATGTGTGATATTTTAGAAAATACTTGGAGCTCAAACCAAAGGCATGTGGTTTGAATGCACCAGCTTCTCTGTGGGAGAAAGATGGGCATTCTCCTTCTGTGAGATTAACTGCCTCTGAAAACCCACCAGAGGGTCAGCTATAGGTTATTTCCGACTTGATGGTACACAACAACAACAACAGAAAACAACTCCTCACTAAATTAAGTGCCCTTAAAAAAAAAAAGGTATAGATGAGTCTATTGTAAATGAAAAAGACTAAAGAGACTTGAAGTCACATGTAATGAGTGAACCTTTTAACCCGGAGTTTAAAAAAAAATATGCAAAAGATACACAGGGTTTGAATCCACCAGTTGCTCTGCTGGAGAAGGCGGGGCAATCTCCTCCTGTGCCAGTCGGATCCAATTCAACAGTGTTCAACAGTGCACAGCAACAACAATTTAAAAAAAAAAAAAGCAAAGAGAACTCCTTGGAAAAATTGTTGATTTTAAAAGATACATGGGGAGAGTTGTAGAAAGATTAAATAGAAACTGTTTACTAGATTATGTTGGGTCTTATTTGTAATAAGACATTATGATGGCAATATGCTACTTTAGATTTCTCTATAGCCTTGACCATTCTCAAAGGAAAAGCTTGGTGTTCAAAAACTCATAGCAAAGAGGGGTTGGAAGTTGCCATGCAGAGCATCTGGACCCTACGGAGGAGCAGCCTCTGCTGGGCCCTGTGCCGTAGGAGGGGCTCTCTCCTTGCTCCTCCTTGCCTGTCCCTTTAGAACTGATAACTCGTTCAGAGGAGTGGGCCTGAACTTGTCCAGGGACATGGAGGCAGCTTAGAATATGGGGATTCATAAGTATTGCTAGAAGTAGAGACTCGAGTTAGAGAAAGTGACAGGATAAAGACTGTGGTGGCTGCTCCTGTGCATATGATAGATAGAGGAAGTGAAGAATTTGGTTAGTCAAAGCTAGAGACATTAGAGTTTGACCCTGGTTGTGTGACAGGTGAGATATTGGTGAGAGGTTTTTGGGTGCTTCAACTTTAAGGCACTGGGGGCATTTTGCTGCTGAAGAATTACCAGTTGCCATTGACTTGACTTGGACTCATGAAAATCCCATTCATATTAGAGTAGAATTGAGCTCCATAGGGTTTTGAAGGATTGATTTTTCAGAAGTAGATCACCAGGCCTTTCTTCCAAGGAACCTCTGGGTGAACTCTTGCCTTTTGGTTAGTGACTGAGCATGTTAGTGGGATCTGTGCAGAGCTGACTGCCACTTGACATCCCAGTTCCTCAGCAAATGTGAAGCATCTTTATTGACGTGAAGCATCGCTATTGACTGTATTGAAGAGCAAGGCTCGACCTTGACCTCAGCTGCTGCAGCTCTAATGTTGTTGTTGTTAGGTGTTGTCGAGTTGAGTATGACCCATAGCGACACTATGAATGAAAGATCTGAACACTGTTGTATAACTATTATCATTTCTCTAGTGTTCATAGGTTTTTCTTTTAAATTTTAGTTTTGTGATTTTTAATGAAAGTTTAAAGAAAACTTGGATTTAAAAATCAAAATATTATACTGAATTCAAAGATATAGACCAGGCAAAAGTGACAGTTCTCTAGTTAAAGCACAGGTAGGTGGGAGTTAGAGTCTTTCCATTCTTCCTTTAACCATTCTGTCTCAAGAACCTCCCGCCCCCTGTGCTTACCTGACAACTCCAGGGCTCTGGGGAGCATTAGTAGAAACCACAAGGACAGTATGCACACTAGGTGTAGTAGGTGTGTAGTCTGGGATATGTTGGTGACTCAACACAGAAGAACTCAGGTAGAGAGGAGGAGGGTGGGACCTGGCTGTCTCCCAGATCTGAAGTCCTTGGGTGGTGGCAGCACTTAAAGGTACTGGTAGTAACTGTGAGGCTGTTTGAGGTGATTTTTTCA